AATTTCTAATTAATATATGAAATATGCACACATTGAAAATCATACCCTCCATCATAACTCTCAAATCTCATTCATCATAATTTCATGTTTGATTATGAGACTTGTGAGATCCAGTGGTGTTTGGTGTCAATGATGCAAATTACAATTTTAAGCTACAGCAGAAGATTTTCAGTATATCATTTCAATTTTAGTCTTTTCTTCATATAAAGCTATCATATGACTCCATAAAACTTGATATATAGTGCACAATCATACCTTTATGAAACTGTTATGTATAATTAAAGTATGTTTTGTCGCTTGATAAAGCTTAGATTAGTGGTTCTCAACATTTTTGACTCGAAGGCCGCACGTTGTCCAACACAACATTTTGGACCCATATATAGGCTATTACAGATATTATTATAGATATGCTGTAATTATGACAAAGTAGTTTTTATCAACAGAAACTGGAAGTATTAATATATTAAATTAATTAACCATAATTCATTGTATGATTTCAGACGTTTCATGAACTGATGTTCTTCCTATACAAACAACAGTAATTGAGAGAGAAGATAGAAACATGATTTCAGTTTATAGCTTGACTTTGTGTTTTTGTAGCATTTTAATTATGATTACAGTTCAATTATTTTATCTATAAATAGTAATTTATTCATTTAAATCATTAGTTATCCCGAGGCCCCCATGGAGGTTTGCAGATGCCCACTGGTTGAGAAACACTGCCCTAGATGGACAAGGCAGGTGAAATGTTCTGCAAAATATCTTATTTTGTGTTCCGAGGAAGAAAGAACATCATACAGGTTTTGAGTGAGTGAATGATGACAGATTTTTAATTTGTGGTGAAATATTCCTTTGAGGTATAAACTCACCTTAATGGGTGCAGTACTGAATTTAATTTTCCGGCTTGGGGGCGGATCCTCCTCCACAGGTAATCCAGCAACCTCAGAGCAGCTTGACTGTGGCTCATATACATCATCTTCATCCTCCTCATCCTCGAGCTGACTACCACCAGAGTCTTCTCCTACTGCATTGTAGGCACTGATATCCACCAAATCAGCCTTAGAGTAATTCTCCTTCAGAGTACCATCATCATCCTCCTTCTTACTGACCCCCACTGATGGACGAGCATGTCCATCCTCGCCCTTCCTCCCAGTGCTGGTGATGCCAGACTCCATAGTGTCTCTCTCCAGAGCCTCTCCATTGGAAGTAACTCCCCCATTTTCCAAATTACGGACATCAGCAGAAATAAGAGTACCTTTTGCCTCTGTGGCATAGGCCTGTCCTGGCTTACGCTTATCTAGAGTCTTAGATTCATTGGCACTGGATTCATCCTTCTCCCTTGTCTTTTTCTCATCCAAAGACTCTGTATCCACAGCTGTGATAATGTCCTGAAGCTCAGACGCTCCATTGAGGCTGCTACACCTTCCATCTTGTTCATCCTGGTGCTGGTTTACCCCATCCTCCTTGTATGACCCTGAAGGAAAAGCGCGTACCCGTTTGGTGATGATTTTTGAGTTGAGCGCACCGACCCGGCCGGTGACCCCGCGTAAAGGCAGCGGGGGCGTGTTGGATAGCCGGTGCAGGTTGTTCCGCAGCTCGGCGGCCCGCTCGAAAACGGCACTGAGCTGGCTGACAGTGGGCGACACGGCCTCGCCGGTCCCACCGATCGCGTCCAGGCTATCCAACGACTCCGTGCTGCCGTTAAAACGCGCGACCACATCCAAACGTGACGCATCATGAAAGCCCGCGGCGCGCTCTTTCTTCAGTAGCACGCGATTAGAAGCCGCCTGCTTCTCCTGCTGCTGCTGCTCAAAGATCTTCCTTGTCTCCTGCAGCTTCGAGTACCTGGGCGACGCGTCCGTTTTGCAATCGAAGCGGTTGACGCGCTCGGAGACGCTAGATCCTAGTTTGAGCAGCGCGCTGTGATCCACGTTCTCGTTCAGGCTGCCAGCCCGCGGGAGCGTGAGACGCACCGCTTTGCCGTCGCCGTTTGCCTTTTGCGCGTCTTCAACCTCGGTGGGTGAGGATGCGCCCATCTGCATGAACATGTTTTTGATGCGGTGCACGTTCGAGCCGTACGCGCGACCGCGGCTGGTGAGTTTAGGCTTGCCATCCTGAGCGTCGCCGTTATTTATGACATCGTTCGCCGGCTTCAGCGCCTGAATCCCCGCCGCCTCGTACGCGTTGCGGTGAGGAGAGGGGCTGCGGAGCGCGGTGGTGCTCGCTGGCTTGGAGGAGGATGAGGATTCGGTCTTCATCATGGTCTGTTAGGCTTCTACGAGGTGATGCGATAACAGCATCTCTGAGTCGTTGGCCCAGACGTTTCTGTCAGGACAAAACTGTCGCTGATGAACAATAATGTGCACTGGAATATGATGAAGAGAACGGCGAATTAATGCCCATGAATGCTTGTAGAGTGTCCGTCAGCGGCATGGCACAAGCAACGCACCATCTTCCCGTCTGT